ACCTGCACTACATCTGTATATAGCACTTTATCCATCTGCCAGTGTGAGAACCATGGGCTCAGGGCATTGTTTTGGGAAGTGAAATGAGCATCGAAGCCAAGAAAATGAAAAAGAGGAGGGCGGGGTTGAAGCTGGGGAGGGGTGGGCTTCCCAGGCCACTTGGGAGTTAGGCCTGGCCCTTCAGATTCCAAACTTGCCTGTGGGGGCCGTGGGGGCTGCCAGGAAATACCTGCACCGAAGTCTTCTTGTCTGTCTTCCCCAGGGAGCGGGTTCCTCTTTTCTTCAAGGAATGCTAGAAATTAAAAAACAAAAACACACAAAACTGAAAGCTCATGGGGCTGATGATGGGCATCAAAGAATAGTCAAGGTGCCTGGGCTTCCACCAAGGGCCTCCTCCTTGCCCAGCCTAGCCCAGCCACGTCCAGGCTTTGACCAACACCAACACCCGAGCCAGAGGGGTCCTCAAGAACACCCAGTGGGCCAGAAGCACATGAGGACTCTGATCACACCTGCCAGGGTTCCCCCCCACCTCCCACCCCTATGTTATGATCCAGTTGGCCTGGGCCAAGACCCAAAAATCTGGGTTTCTCTTCTTCTGTGTCTTTCATTCATTCACCAAGGATTTCCTGAGTACCTATTATGTGCCAGGTGGGGCTAGGCATAGAGGACACAGTGGTGACCAAGCCAGACAGGGTACCGGGGGAGGATGCTGTGGTGCTCCACCCAGATCCCCGCCTCCTCAGAACTAGGGGACTTGTTCCCCCAACTAAGACCTAAATGATCCCACTGGCTGAGGGCAGCCCCCTCATTCAAGGTCATATGCCCTCCCTAGGGGGAGCCCACATGCAATGACTGGTCCATGGCCTCCTGCCTCAACTCAGAACAACTCTAAACAGCCGTCCCAGCTCCAGAGCTCCCCATGGGATGGGCTGAGGCCATTGGTGTGAATGCTCTGAGGCTCCTTGGTGGCATTATCCCCAAGGGGACTCTTCCATAAGCAGGCAAATCTCCATTTCAGGGGGAATCCTGTCCTCATGGACTTTAATTCGGAATGTATACTAATAAACAAAATGCAAATGGGTAAAACATCACAATTACACAGGAGGGACTGCTCGATTTTTCACAATTTAAATTGTAAGTTTTCATGTAAAACAACGCTATCATAATCATAATTCAAAAATGCAGAACTGATACGGAAAGAAACTGATTTTTTTTTTAGAAATTGATACTTTTAATTGGATAAGCAAATTCTACACAGGAAAAAAGTACCCTAAGAAAGTAGAATTATAAATGATGCTGGGAAAAAAATTTGCAATTTATTGCACTGACAAAGGGTTAATATCCTAAATACATAAAGAGCTTCATAAAATAGAAAACAAAAAGGCCAACAAACCTATATTAAAATGTGCTAGAGATATGAAAACTGTTCACAGGAAAAGAAAGGTAAATGGTTTGTAACCATAGGAAGATTTCAACCCTATTCAAGGAGAAATGCAAATTAAAACTACACCCAGATACCATTTCTCACCTATCTGATTGGCAAAAATCCAAACATCTGACAATACATTCTACTGGTGAAGCTATGGAGAAGGAGGAAAAGTCCTATACAACTGGGAAGAAAGCAAAATGGCACAAGCCCTATGGAGGGGAACTTGAGGAAATGTTACAATAATTTTTACTAAAGTTTCTTGATGTTTAAAAAAGTCACTCAGGAAATAAGTCAAACAGAGAAAGACATGTATCATATGATCTCACTGATATGAGGAATTCTTAATCGCAGGAAACAAACTGAGTGTTGTTGGA